TCTTGAAATGCTTTTGCTAATTGCCATTTTGGTTATTAAGGAAACAATGTGGGTGTGCGTGTGTGATTGAGTGCGTTTATCTGCTAGTTTTATCATATATCATATCATAGATTTATATATGTATATATATTAGCTGTACATTACCATATAGAGCTCGATATTGAGTGCGCGCGTGAACTTTTGCGTGGAAATATTTCATTTATCGCATATTTTCAAAAAAGTGCACGACTATTGCAAATGTTGTTTTTGTTTCCTTATAATGTTTGATTTCAACTTTTTCTTGCTTTTTCCTTTATTGTAAATAATACTTTTACTTGTTTTATCGCATAAAACAAAATAAGAAACAAAAGAAAGAAAACACGTTTACACCCAAAAGTTTTTTGACGATATGTTTACTTTGCCGTTGCATTAGTGTTGGTTAGTGTGCGTCTGTGTGTGTGTATCTGTGTGTGTGTTTGGGTGTGCGTGCTTTACTGCATGTCGTTTAGCCTAATGGCCTCCTGTATCCGCTTGAGCTTCTTCTGCTCCTGGGCCTTTATCTGCTTCTCGCGCAGCTGCTTGCGCTTCTTGCGCATCTCAAGGAATTTCTGCTGATCCTCGGGACTGAGCGCTGCAATGCGCGAGGCGTATTTGCGACGCTTCTCTTCCAATTGGGCAGCTACCTCGGCGTCGGCAATTTGTTTGGCTGCCTCGAGCTTTTGCTTTTGCTGTTCCGCTTTGGCGGCGGCGTCGGCTTGTTCCGCTTCCTCGCGTTGTTTGCGTTCTTGTTCGGCGCGTTGCATGTCCGCTTCCAGCTGACGATTGCGCGCCTTTTCCTCCTCCTGTAGCTCCTGACGCAGTCGCTCCTCCTCTTCGTCTAGCTTACGCTTATCGGCCTCGCGCTGGGCAATCTCCGCCTCGCGCTGGCGTTGTATCGCCTCGCGGCGCGCATTTTCTTCGTGCAGACGCTTCAGTTCGCTCTCTTCGAACCGTTTCACCGCCTCTATACGCTCCAGTTCCGCACGCTTCTCCTCCTCCTGCTGTTCGCGGCGTATTTGTTCCAGGCGCTGGCGTTCCTGCTCCTCCAACTGCTCCTGTATGGCCTTCTGCTCACGACGCTTTGCCTCGTGCGCCTCCTGTAATTTGCGCTCCTGCTCCGACTTGGCCTCCTGCAGTTGCTTCTCATACTCTTCGCGCAGACGCTTCTCCTCGGCTAGACGTTCCTCAGCATATCGTCGATCGGCTTGCTCCTGTTCTGCCTTCTGTTTGCGTAGCTGTTCCTCGCGAGCCTTTTTCGCTGCCGCCTCACGCTCTAGCTGAATCTGTCGGCGTTTCTCGCGCAAACGCTGCGCTTCATCGTCTACGGCACGTTGGCGTTCGTCCTGCGCTTGCTTCTCCTTTAATCTCTCCAATTCGCGCTCATGCTCCTCTTTGCGTTCCTGTCTCTGCTGCTTCTCCAGCTGCTCTCGCTGCTCGCGCTCCTGTTTCTGCTGCTCTTCCATGGCCCGCCGACGCAATGCATCTGGCTCGCTTTGCGGCTCATGTTGCTGCAGTTGCTCTCGCTCCCGTTGCTGCTGCTGTGGACGCTCCTGCTCCTGCTCCTCGGCTGGCTTGCGTTGGCGCTGCTCCTCAAGCAACTTGCGACGTCGCTCCATTTTCTCCTGGCGCATACGCTGCTGACGCTCGCGCTTGCGCTGCTGCCGGCGTCGCTCCTTCTGCCGCTCACGCTGCAGCTTGCGATCGTAGGAGGTCATCTGTTGCTGTGTAGTGGGCGTGCCTGGTTGGGCAGCACTTGTTGATGCCACCTCATTGCTGATCACTCGCGGCTGCTGAGTTGTGCTCACACGTGGCCGCTTGCGTGGCCGCTGCTGCAGCTGATGTGGATAGTTGACATCGTTGGGGTGCGTCGGCTGCTGCTGCTGGCGATTGCGTTGTGGGTAGCGACGATTGCCGGGGCCTCGCTTGCGGGCGGGAATAATCATTTCCTCAGCGCTGCCCTCGGCCTTAACGCGGCGATGATATCTGCACACAAACAAAAAGAATTAGCTGCTGTTCACAAGATATTAATGCTAATAAATAACTAGTATAATGATCATATATGTAAAATATTTCCTCTTTCTTGCTTCACAGGTGGAGTCTGTAAATTTGGCTCTAGAGATTTTGGATGATTACATTCTGCGCGGCCATAAGATACACGTGCAGCGTGCACAGTTTCAAATGCGTGGCGAATACAATCCGGCCCTAAAGCCCAAGCGCAAAAAGAAGGACAAGGAAAAGTTGCAGAAAATCAAGGAAAAGTAAGTAATACCCGACAATTCCCTTAAAGAAAAGCAGCTGAGCATTCTATTAATTTACAGATTGTTTGACTGGCGACCCGACAAAATGCGTGGCGAACGTTCGAAGAACGAGAAAACGGTCATCATCAAAAATCTTTTCACGCCGGAGCTCTTTGAGAAAGAAGTGGAACTCATTTTGGAATATCAAAACAGTTTGCGCGAAGAGTGCGGCAAGTGCGGCATAGTCCGCAAAGTTGTCATCTATGATGTGAGTACAAAAAACTCTAAAACTATTATATGTTGATATTAACTAAGTATAATATCATTGCAGCGGCATCCTGAAGGCATTGCGCAGATCAACATGTCCACACCCGAGGAAGCCGACGTTGTCATACAAATGATGCAGGGTCGGTACTTTGGGCAGCGACAGCTCAGCGCAGAGCACTGGGATGGCAAGACTAAGTACAAGTGAGTCGCAGTTGAGAGTTTCAAAAGCAGAAAATCTAAACCCAAATGTATTCCTTTGCAGAATTGATGAGTCAGCTGCTGAGGCGTCTGAACGTCTATCCAAATGGGACGAGTATTTGGCGGCCGAAGAAGCCACCAAGCAGGAGGCAGAAGATGCGGCGCGCGGCAGTCCGAAGGTTTCAGATGACACTGCTTAAGGTGCGTGACACTTTTATCCCATTAGTTATCCAATTAACAAATATTTTTTTGTGTCTTACAGTTGCCTGGTGAGTTGAATGTGTTTTTGTTATGTTTATTTTCTACGTACCTGCGATCCTTGCCACGTCGGTCGATGACCTCCAATACGACCTCATTGGCCAGCGAATTGGGATAGGTGACATTCCAGCGGCTGTAGATTTTATAACGATTCGCTTCACTCACTTTTGGCATCTTGTGCTGGCATATGAAACGCAATTTGTCCGGACAGGAGCGAGCCGACCAACGATATTTCAAGCTCGGATCGTAGACAGCGCAATTATTATCCAATGGCTTGCTGTTGGAGATAAGTTGCACATAGCTAAAATTGTTGCTTAAACATTAAACGACCCGCAAAATAAACTACACAAAACTCAATCATAATCGGATTCATACGTACGTCGGATCCATTTGGCTAAACGCATCGTATGTCAGATTGCGGCCACTAATGCTCCATTGCCAGTTGTGGTTATGATGATCGTAGGTGCCGCCAATCCATATGGGATCGTGTTCTGCCAATTTCAAAGTTTTGTATTAATATTCATAGTGAGTTCTTTTTTTTTAATTATTTCAATTTACCGCCCGATATCGAGTCCTCGCGTTGCAAATAGATTCTCAGCTTACGGTCGGCAAACTTGGTGGGCTCGGCCAGATTGGCATTCTTATCCTTGCAGAAGAAGTGCGCCTCCAGCCAGCTGCTGCGCTGCTGCACCAGCGAATAGCAATCGGTGCCGACGCGTTGGAATTGTGGTGGGCACATGGCATACATGCGACGGTTGTGCGCCTTTGTCGGTGGCACAGCCACGGCCGCGTCCTGTGGAGCGGGCTCATTGGCAAAGCTGACACCGGCGCTGGCTGCGCTCATATGTAACTGTGCCTGGCTTGTGTGCGCCACTGTAGAAGATGGAGGGGGGCATTAGGGTTGAGAATATGATAATTATTAGATGTTGGCCGTACAACGTGGCGTATGCGCAATTTACTTACATAAACCTAAGGTAATTACTAGGCAGCTCAACATGATGTGGCTGCGTTTGCTGCTCATGTTGCACTCTTGACGATTCCTTGCTGCAATTGTTGCTGCTGTTGCTGTTGTTGTTGTTGCTCTCGCTGTTGTTGTTGTCGTTGCTGGGCTGGCAATTTATTTTCCTTGCTCGCTGGGTTTTGCCGCTTGGCAACTTTTTACATTGCAATTGAAATGCTGAAGCGCTGAAAAACATAAATAAATGTTGAAACATTTATTATACGCTGAACTCAACTCTTAACTCATCTAATGCTGTTTATCATATTTGTGGAAAATACAAAAAAAAACCCCTGGCAAAATGCTTGCGCGAATGGACGTGGCGACGCCGGCGCAAAGACAAATTGAGCTGGCGAGTGAGATTCTTGAATGGATTTGTGTGATTTATTAACGAGCCATTCATAAACAAATTTGACGCTCGTTCAACTGACCAAAAAACAATTCGCAACTGGCCCAGCAAGAGCTCACGTCTTGGGCCAACGCCTGTTGTCTGTCAGCACACTTGGCTCATATGGCTGTCGGTGTGTTTATGTGGATTTCCACTTAACACTTTCTGAAATTGGCTAGCTACTGTTGTGTTGCATTCTATTTTCAATTTGTTGACTTGTGTGTTTGTAATTTACCTTGGCCCATTGGGCGTGACACATACAGTTTAAGCTGTCTGTAAATATCAAACGGCTTTTAAGTTCCAGTTGAAATAGTCAATTGTTAGTTCGTTTCACGTGCCATGTTGCTGCTAGCTTTAATATAAAATTAGCTATTATTTGTTGGCTAAATGATGGCCTGTTTGTGCTAACAAAATAACTTTCAGTGCATACATATTCAGAGCAGTTTGTATGTGTGGCTCATTAACATATTGTCAGCTCCAATGACACTAGCTGCATTTGGCAGCTGGATTAATCCGTCGAGCCAGGAAACATATTTATATATTTTTTTTTCGCTTCCTCTCAGTGATTCTTTTACTTTCGCTTCCTTAGTGACTAACAGCCAATAAAATTCATTATGAGAATCGCAAAGAAGGGCGATATTTTAAAACTTGGGGCACAAAAGTTAAATTAATTTTATTCCTAAGCCTAAGCGCCCTTCCAATAACAATTAAGTATTACTTGAATATAAATATCATTTGTTAATTTTAATTAAACGACGACTCTGGCGCTGCTCGTACTCGTAGCACAGGCGCTGCCAAATGCCCAGGCACATGTGCACCAGACGCCGGTCGTGCTTCTTGGGTTCCCCACATGCGAATCGATATTGTGCGCGTATTAGAAGCTTGGCCCGTCGCAGTTGACCGCGTTGTATGAGGGATATGCTGTAGTAGAGCTTGCAGCGCGCCTGCACAAAAGGATCGCCCAGGCGCAGGCCGATTGTCAGCTGCTGGAGCGAGATCTGACCCGCTGCCTTAGCGCAGCCTTCGAACTGGTCGCCGAGCGCCGAGTAGCCGCCACCCAGCGTCGATAGCCAGCACATAAGTTGCTCCAGCTCGATGTGCTGCCAAATGGTGTGCATCAACATATCCGCCCACTTGTAATCGATGGCCAAACGCTCTGGCGGACGGAATGCCAGCCACAGCAGCTGGACACCTAGATCATGCAGCAGCCAATCGCGCAACACCTGCTGCTGCAACACTTCATGCAGCACATAGTTGCCACTAACCGCGTCCAGCTCCAATAGCAAACGTCGCACAGTTTTAATCTTAGCCTGGCCCTCACCACCGGAGAGCACTTGGATGCGGTCTGGAACTGGACAATTGTAGAAGTGGCGACGCCTCGAATAGTCGCAGACGCACACAATTAGCTTCATGCTGAGCTTCAAGCGGGGATTGAAGACAGCTTCAAGCGAGTTTCTTTCAAACTTATTTTATGATAACTAGATCTTCACGGCCGATCAGACCGTAATACTTTTTTTTACATTTAGTTTATGCTTATTTATTGTACGTGTATTATACAAACAACTTTCTATCTAAAACAAATCGTCTTTTCATCAGAAAGCCACGGCCCCAAAGTGCTGCCTTCTAACAATTTTATTGCCTTACTTTTTATAACCAATATATATATATATATATATATATATGCTTGTCTTGCTGGGTGTTTGTTATTTATTTTATTCAAATTCAGAAAGAAAGTAAATGAAAATTGAGAATTTTCCGAAATGGTTTGAGTGCTCTCTATTTTAAGTTATTTTGCCGTAGTGAGGACGCAAACCACGCCATGTTTTTTCTGGCCCGCCACGAAGTTGCGTTTTTGAATGAAATTTTGTCAAATAAGTTTGATTTTATAAATTCGTATTTATATGATATACCTCTTTCTTCTCGTACGGATCCCGACTATCGATTGACACCAAAAAATCTGAATTCTAATTCTAAATGGCCCAATTTGAGAAAAACTACTATGTTTTTTGCAAAAATTACGATGTTTGCTGAAAATGGCTGTGACCACGAGTCGAACGAGACCAAACTTTCCAAGATCGGGGCTTATTTGGCCGAGAAAAAAAAAACGCGAAAAAATGCCGTTATAATTTTGAAGATTTGTCGTTTTTTTTCGATAATTCGGCTAAAAATGGTCCGATTTTGGAAAGTTATACCTTTTTGAACTCGTACCGATCTCTGGAACCGACTTGCATACAACGTTTTTTGATTTTGATTTTTTATATTTTATTTTTTTTTCTTCGCTGGAAAACGACAAACCTAGCTGCATACTTTTTGGCTGCAGCGAATATTTCTAAAATTGGCGTGCGTCCGAAATTTCAAACGATTTTGGAATTGAATATTTTAAAAAATGAAAATTGAATGAATGAATGAAAAAAAAATGAATTTCGACAGCATTGTGTTGAGTTGGAAAACATGATTATTTAGAGATATCTACATCTGTTCATTGTGAAAAGCATGGGCAAGTATTAGACGACTGAGGGTATATGCAGTGCATTCATAGTCATCTGATGTCATCATATATATATATATATATATATAAGGAAATGTAGACAACAATCTGACGGAACGCTATAAATCATAAAGTGTCATATAGTTGATAAGAGATAAGATAGATGTCTGTCTGACAGTCAGAAAAGTCAAATCGTTGATAAAAGGGTTTTATTTCTGCTTCGAATGACTACGAGCTGTTGCATCAGATGCGAAAATGCAAGATTTTATTTACCCAACTCGCTCAGTTCGTATATATGTATATATTCCTATTCAATCTAGACTTTTTTGAACCTCTTTCGCGCTGTTCTTCATATTTGCTCACTCGCTCTTTGATTATCTCTCGATTAAACTGCGATTGTGTCACATAATTGAGCCATTGGAGTCTGTTGCTCCTAGCTGATGGCCAACTGAGCGCCTCAGGCAGCGCGTTGCTGTTGGCCATTCGAATTGCCAATTCCAACGCGTCAATTTCGCTGCTAATCATATATAATTTTTGTTGTAAAATAATTCATGCCCGTGTACATACACATACACATACACACATAAATTAAAAGTGCCGCCAGGCCCAGGTTGAAATCCCAAGTCAATTGCCACGCACAACCCGCTTGACGGCTTCGGCAGACACTGCGACTGTCGCAGCTTGGAGCTACGGGCAGCTCGGTGGCACGACGACAAATTCCTCGGCGATGACGTCGGAGACATGGCCTGACATTGGCCATGGGCCTATGTCTCAGTTACTGTTGTAATTGTCAGTCTGTTTGTTTATTTTGAATACAACCCGCTACACATTGTGTGTACTCCGCCTTGATGGGCCTTCATGGCTCGGCACATTTGTTTGTGGAGCCAATAAGTAGTAGACGCCACCCACAACTACTCGTAAATCCACTCGTAAACTGTGGCTGGCCCATATGAGTGGATGTGGGCGACATTTGAGTGATTTATGGCCGCCTTTGAATGCATTTCACAGTGGGAGCAGACAGCATTCAAATGGCATTCGTTGACAATTTATAGTTTGATATTTATCCAAATGTCTGACTGCTGAGTCTGGCTGACCTTGATCTTGAACTTGTTGGGCGTGTCTGGGCTGGTTTTTATAGGCATCTATTACAGCATCGAAGCACTTATTGTAACATCCATCAGGCATGCAGTTGCGATGAAGTCACTTTTGCTGATGGTTTTTTTATTTATTTTCTTTCTATTTGGTTAGCTTCTAACGAAAATGTGTTCTTAATTTGATTTTCGAAATTCGACCAGTTCCCGGAAAGCGAAATCGTAAACAGACGCAGTAAATGACAAAAATTCACACGAAACAAATCAATCAACAGGGCGAGAAGCTTAGGAAACTTTAAGTTTTACGAGCGACTTGAATGAATGCGGCAAGCGGGCGTGCACGAGGCTAACATACCCTGTGTACCCTTAGCAGGCGAACTCGAGACTAAAAGGAGTTTATAAGTCTTTGGTTTAGAGTATTTCAAAATTCTATGAAGTCATACAAGGAATGTACCATGTACCAGAATATATCTATAAATATTTGTTGCTCAAGAGCTTTTAAGTTGTGCAAGCTATATACACCCTTTCGCTAAGCATGACAGGGTATACAAATGATATATGGTAAGCTTTATCCTCACAATCTTCAACACTATCCAATTTTTATTTTTATAGCTGTCTGCAAAGATCGAAAGATCTTTGGCGCTTTTTTAATTTGAAATTCGCGCGTGTAGTTTAAAAATGAAGTTGAGAAATGACCAAAACTTGATTTTTATGTTGATAAATGAGTTAAGGGCGTGTTTAGACGGAAACTAAACAGTTGATTGTGTTTTGGGGAACGTTCTGAATTTGAATAAGCCTTGAAACACACTTAAGACTTATGCTAAATTGAGCTTAGTTCAAAAACCTTATGAATATGTGGCCAATCTTCGGTTTTGATAACTTTATAAATGTCCAACAGAATTCAAAATTAAATGAATTTACAGATTATTTGCAAATGTAAACAATATTTTTGAAAGATCAGTCAATCAGCACTCAACAGAATTAGGAAGCTAGACGAGTGTTTTCCTAATTGAGCTAAGCACCCACACATCAATCCGCACTCACTCAACCAGTCAATCAGGCAATCAATCAGTCAGACAATCAGCCAATTGAAAGCGAAATGCAGCATCATTTGGTCTTAACCTCTTGACGCGGGTTCAATGCGAACAGCTGCCTCATAAATCTTCGAAATGCTTTTGGATTATTGGGTCTCGATTTTGGAAGCTGGCAAACCGGTTGATGGCAAACAAATTGTCGACATTATTCTTACAACATTCAAACGAGCCGCAAAATAAAAAATTAAATATATACCAATATAGCAAAACGTAAACAAATCAAAGTAGCAAAGCAAATAGGAAAAAAAAATAGCTTCCTTTAGCTAATATTTGGCAACTTCTGCTCCCACAAACCGCGCTCCAATCAACTCCAATTAAATGAACCCGTTCTGGGCATAGTTAATTAAGTTGCAGGCAACTAATTGAAGTTCCTAATGCCAGCTAGCTTGTAATTAGCATAAATGCCAGCATAAAATAAACAACACGACAAGAAATGTTAAACGAAATTCAGGTTTGTGGTTTCATTAAACAATCATGTACCAAAAAGTATTAACTTTATAAATATTCCAATACACACATTTATTGTAGCTGTATTTCCGCTCTTAATTAATTTATGCGCATTTTATTGATCTCATGTGTTGTGCGTATCAAAACCGCACAGCAGACCAACTGAAATTTTTGCGAAAAAGAAAAAAGACAAACAAATGAAAATGACCACAAATGGCAATGTAATACAGACAGTTGTACATGCTAACAGATACCCTTTAAATTAAAAGGCAGACTCTTAATTCGAATATCATATTTATAGGGCGAAGTATGTATTAGGTATATGGTTCTTTAAATTTTTAGGATTTCCAGAATCAAACTAATCAAATCGTTTAGTCACAAGTTTCACCAGCGGGAGTTAACCGGCTTTGCTCGGACCATGTCTTTTCCTTGCATTTTGGTAATGTGCGAAATTATACATTCATTTACCGCTTGTACTATTTTGATTTCCACGTCTCAAACGATATTTTGGACAGCTTTTTAAATGTGAGTTCGAAGTCGATCACAGGAGTGGCAACAACGGAGGTGGCAAGTGTGAAACACGTCTCAAATACATTTTTTAAATATCATTCTAAATGAGTTTGTGGTAGATTGTGTGTTGAGCATTTTTCATGAATTTTCCACACTCACGAGTGGAAGCAAACATTTCTATATACATAAACAAAATTTCGCACATCTTTCATATTATTTATATAGTAAAAGGTTTTTTTTGCATATCCTGTACTCTCTGCACTTTCTACTCATCAGAGATAAACGCATTTCATTCAGTTTGCTTTGGTTTTATTTGATTTTGAAGTCTTGGCATAGTTTTTTTTTTTTGGACTGCTTTTTAGTAAGCCAATCGGCATCCATCCACTGAGCTGCCTTTGAGCGCTTTAGCAGCTGGGCAAAAAAAAGAGAGAGAGTAAAAAAACAGTTTTCATTTCTTCCACCAGCTCTAAACGCATTTTTCCACACAACTGCAACGCAATCTTGGCCCGTGATAGCTCAGTTTTAGTGCGCCATTCACATGCTTCACCTGGTGTCATCCAACGAGGCATGGAGGAGCCACGGCACGTACTACTTACATGCCAGCTATCTGGTATCTAATATGCCGTTTGGCTGTGGCAGTTGAGTTTGCTCCTGCTCTTCTTCTTCTTTACGTTTTTCGTGTGTGTGGTAATCTTATTGCCCCTGGAGCCTCGTCATGCCTTCAATATTATATATCAGAGCGGGGCAATGTTCTCTTCGAATTCTGTTTGCAACAGTCGCCCAGAGAAACAAAAAGTGAAAGTCATTTTGTTAATGTTTTGCATTCCATACGGCTGTAGTTGTTGTTGTTGTTGCATGTCATTGTCTGTAGACACAATCCTTTGAC